AGTGGCGGGTTGCAGGGAGCGGCGGGAACTCTGGAACTATGCGCCACAGAGTAGCGACAACCAGTAGGTGAAACGAACTTTATAAGCAATTACCAGTACGACAAAAATAAAATAGAAGATAGAATTAACTTATTATACTAGTGTGTGGATAAAAGCATATTGTCGTCCGTATTTGTGGTTTTATTTCTAGTGATTTTACTTTTACAATACCAAAATAAAGAAAATATAAATACAACCTCGCCTGACTATTCCAACCAGCTATTTAAAATGAAACTAATTCGTTCTCCGACGATTATATAACAATGTTTTAATTTAATTTTTTATTAGCTTACTAAGAACCAGCTCTTGTGTGTTTATAAAAAGACAAAGCATTAAAGTAATGCGTGCAATTCGTATTAAACGCACTATCTAAAGAATGTATCTTGCCGTGTCAGTCAGATACATTTGAGAGCCATAAGAAATAAATATAATTACGAACGCGTACCGGTTTTAATTAGGTTGAAACCTCATGATTAATTAACACAATGTTCCAACATGTGTCCTATATTTAATTGCAATCTTCCTGTCTGCTAAGCTTAGCAACATTCGTTTTTCGTCGCCTGGCTGTCCGGTATAACATAGTCGCTATAAATGCTTTAATTTTCTTGAAAGCTGTTTTAAAAGATTCCATTCTAAAACTTTAACAGTGTGTCAAACGAACAACGAATGTAATGGAGTCGCCGTTGTTTTCGACTTCAGTGATATTTTTATTAGTCCATGTTTTAGTCTGTTTCGTGAAAGATAATGGAAAGGATGCCAACATGTATAGATACAAATGTCAGTGCAGTGAAGTTCTGGGATAAGCTTTATAAATTTATAATTTTTTATCAAGTTCGTTATGTACATTTCTGAACATATAGGATACGTAACAGCTGGGGATCAGTAAATGAAATTAATTTAAAGATTAAAAAAAAGTTTAAAAACAGGACAGAACGGACGACATATTACAAAATATAGGAATCTCGTAAACTATTCGATGGTTTATAAGTCACCATTTTTATACTAAACAAAATGTTTTTATTTATTTGTTTCGGTATGAGTAATAACTATGCGACTCCATAGTTTTCTGTGTGCCGAGGCGGTGAGGGGTGAGTTCGGGTGTCCAAGAGCGCTCAGTATTCAGAGTATCG